GATAGATGGGTATGGGGGTAGATAGATGGGTGTATGGAGATAGATTTAGATAGATGGGTGTATGGGGATAGATAGATTAGATTAGATATTTTAAAATGCTCAGCACCCACCCAGTCAGAGGCCAGTCTTTCAAAAGATACCTGGCTCAGATCTGTAAAGTTATTTAAGCATCGACCTCCCATTGATTTCAGCGAATTCCTCAGGGCATAGGGTGCTCAGCACTTTTGAAAACCCGGCCATTGTGGAGAGCAGAGCCAAAGTGCAGACATTTCAATTAGTTCACATCCTTGTTCCACAGTCCCACTTTTTTCCTTTCCTTTCCTGACTCTGACTCCTGTCATTTAGCCCAGGAAGATGTTTTATTACCCAGACCCATGGGGTGGAGGGGACAGATTGTTTGCTGATAACAAAGGAGGCCTCTATGCCTTCTCCCCCCCAGGGAGGCAATGAGCAAACTGCTATTGTTTGCAGAGTCCTCAGAACTCTTTTATCTGGAGACAATTGAATCAGTTCATTTGGTTCATTCTTTGCTTTGCTCCCTGTGTTTGGATTTTCTTCACAGATAATCTCTTTCCTAATTAAGTCAAGGACCCTGTGTGCACTAGGAAAATTCCCTCTTCTTGGGTCTCTCTATCCCTTCTGATCCATCCTGGGGGCAAACAATAGAGCTGCTTGGATAGACAGGGCCAAGCTGTCACATTCATGGAGAGATCCTCCAGGGATCGAGTTTGCTTGCTTGTTTTCAACCCCTGTGGAGAATGAAGCCAGAGGCTGAACCTGTTGATGCCCCTTTGACTTAAACGGAGCCAGGATGGCATGTGGTGTATTGAGAACTGTGCTGAAATGACAAGCTATCCCTTAAATTCGAAGGGCCTTTCTGCTCCTGCTTGCAGGTTAGGGGTCTCTGAGGGTAGCCTGGGATCTGCATCAAAGCAGTGTGGAGCAAAGTGGGGTGAGTTGTGCCTCGCTGCCTTAGGGGACAGCTTGCTGTGTCACTCTGTATTTGGCTGTGGTGTGTTAGATTTCTGGAGTCTTTGCAATAAGTGTTACACTGCAACCTTCCAGGAAGAGCATTTATGGTTTGATCTCCCAAGCTAGCGCCTAAAAACAGCAGCACAGATGCGGCTGGAATACAGATCCAGGTGCTCGGGTGGGATTGTGCTTGGGACGGCTGGCCTGTGTCAGACCCGTTGTCTGACTAGATGATTCCAATGGTCCCTTCTGGCCTTGGAATCTAGGAATCTATGAAACTTAATCACCATCCCATGTAGACTAGCTCTGAGCAGCTCCCTGTCTATACTTCAGTTCCCCCCCATTGCGGCTAGCAATGGAGTTGCACTGGTGATAGCAACGGGGGAAATGTTAAGGGGGCAGGGGGAAAACCTATTGAAGACACAGCCGGGAGCCAGTCCAGACTCAAACAATAGAAATGAGTAATGCAAACCTCACTACCAATCCCAACCGACCATTAACATTCCACTGCTGGTCTTCCTGCCGGATAATGATCTCTCAAACTGGGCTCCACGGGGCACTTGCTGGGGGTCTGTGGAGAGCTGGCTAGGCACATGGTCATGGTTCTTCCATTATTGAATACCAGGAAACCAAGCTCTTTCCTAACATTACTTTCCCCTGTAAGTAATTGCTGTAGTTGCCACATGGACTGTCAATGCTTGTGAATGGGAGTGGAGATGGTCTCTATTCAAATGCAGATCAAGGAGTGTTCTTTCAGTTCATTTGGATAATTGAGACACTGTGGAACTGACTAGCCCAAGAGGAAAAGAAAGACCCAAATAAGAACAGGTCTATCAACAGTGTCCAAGGTGACATTAGGGGATTGGTTCTGCTTTGAGCAGGGGGTTGGACTAGATGACCTCCTGAGGTCTCTTCCAACCCTGAGATTCTATGATTAGGCTGGACAAAACATTGCAGAGGGTACATAAACCCTCATGTTTCACGGCACAAACCAACCACTACCTGGCTGTGGTCAGGAAGAAACTTCTCCTGTGGGTATAACTGTCCACGGTGGAGTTTCTTGCACCTCCCTTTGAAGCAGCGGGTGCTGGACACTGTCAGAGACAGGACACTGGGTTAGATGGACCCCAGGTCTGATCTGGTCTGGCAACTGCTACATTCCTAGAATTGCATCTCCCCCACCTCCCCTGGGAGCTTGACAGTAATCTGATACAGAGGCGTTTTCTGTTTATTGGCTGGGGGTGGGGGTAGATGATAGGGACTGAGGCTGGGAAAGGGAATGAGGGAGTGTCTCTCTCCCCATAGCAGAACTTTGCTCCCAGAGGGGACTCCACGAGGGTGGGGTGGGAGGAGGTAAATGGGATGAGGGTGGAGACCTCTGGTTAAATTCTCTCTCCTTTGTCTCTCTCCCCTGTCATTCAAGGCCATAATCTGGGTTTGTAACCTCCTCCAGGCCAATTCACTCAAGGCTTCCTCTGGGGAATCTGCATCTTAATTCAAAGGCTGCTCCAGTCCCCCCAAGCCCCAGTCCCTCTGCCCCTCCTGGGAATGGAGCCGGTGCCACCCTCTCCAGTCTCTCACTTGAATGGCAACTGGCACTACCAGTTCCGGATCATCCTACTGGGGGACTCCACCGTGGGCAAGTCCTCCCTGCTGAGGCGCTACGCGGAGGGGTCCTTCATCCCGGCTCCCTGCCCCACCGTGGGCGTGGAATTCTACAGCAAGATGATGGAGCTGCCTCCGGGCATCAAGGTGAAGCTGCAGCTTTGGGACACAGCCGGCCAGGAGAGATTCAGGTGAGGAGGGACCAGAGACCCAGCTCGCCCCATTTCACACCACGCACCCAGCGCACTGCAGCTACATTACCCTGCGGGCTCAGACACTCCCACCCAGAGTCACATTCCCCCCCTCCAGTCACTCACGCACACACACCCAGGGTTATAATTGTCCTGGCATTGGCACAGCCCTGAGATAAGAACCTTAGAAATCCCTGAGACGGCCCCTACCCATATACCACAGAGATCCAGTCCGCAGAGACCAGATCCCTTCAGAGAGTGAGAGTCACACAGAGAACCCTCCATCTCCCCTGCCTGCCCACCCCCCAGACTGGACACACGTACCCATAACTGGGGACCCAGCTCACCAGCCCCAGACCGGTTTCCTTCACCCCAACACGCAGCTCATCCCTGATCTGGTGCTTTCTCTTTTCTGCACCCAATAGCCCGAGCAAGGGTTTTGTTTTGTTTTTAAAAAAGGTTTTTGTTTCCAGTTTTCTTTTCTTTATAGCTTTGTCAATGTCATGCTGTAGCATGATCATGCACATGATGAAGTCACCCAGTCACGCTTGTGTGTTTGCACTGAGAGGCCCGGGTGGGAGGGGTTGCATTGCAATAGGAGAATTTGGGTGGGTTTTTTTATACCTAGGGTCAATTTCAGCTATTTATTTGGCTGCCAGTAACCCCCCACTCCTTTTTTACTGGGAACCTGGCTTTCTAATGGAGAAAGAGCATCGGGAAGGAAAGTGGATGAAGTTTACAGCGTAGGGGAATCTTGGAGTCTAGAAGGCAGGTTTGCTATTGTTGCGATCTGTGTGTGGGGGAGTGGATGGTTTTGTTCAGTGAGTCCTGCAGGCTGGAGAAACAATTCCTCTGTGTGTGAAAAAGGATCCAATCAGCTGAGAGGCTTGTTTGTTGGGGGGTTTGAGAGCAGAGCGGCTGAAGATGGCATAACGAGTTATGGGCCTGGCCTGGCAGATCTACGCAGGGTGAACGGCTCTTCCCGCTGAAAAGAGTCCCAGTGAAATCAGCTCTCCTTTGGGGAGCCACAGCTGCAGTTTATATCAGTTATAACGGTGCTATGCGCTGCGGTTTCTGGTCATGGGGGGACGCTGGCTCTAAGGAGTGAATGAGCAACTAGCTCTGAACTCCAGCTATGCTCTCCACACCCCATGGCACACACGCTCCATGGAGCACACCAATGCAGCACAAAACAACTGGCGGAGGCCCTAGGATAGGGGCCTATTTAGGTGCCTAACTACCCTGGGCCAGAGGCCTTGAAAACCCTCACTCTTCAAGCACTCCCATAACACAGTGAGGGGTGTGGTTTTAAAATCTAGAGCATGCCTCCCTAGCCCCGCCTCTAAGGTCTACATGAGCTGCGCTTGACTTGGGTCCAAGTGTGGGGCGCAAAGGTGGTTTTATGCCAGCTCTGCAGCTCCCTAATCCAGGAGCCAGTCAGGCGGTGATTCAGCTCTTGGCACAATTTAGAGATGTTTCAGGGCTGCTCTAAATTACACCAGCCAGGGACCACAGGCACTGCAACCAGGGCCTCCTTTTCCTGGCCATGCTGAGGGCTGGGCAGCGATACAGAGCTACAACATCAGTCTTACATAACCCAGGGATTCCTCTTGTGCAAGGAGACTCCTCACCCACATAGCCAGTGATGTTGGCTTCTTGGCCCCTTTGCTGTATCATAGGAGAGAAGCCAAGCCATAAGGCCAGTCTTTGATAGCTCTGCTCCCAGAAAAAAAAAATCTTAACATAGGTCCTTAAAGATGGATGAAATAGTGGGGATCTGCCCTTATTTGTCTTTGTATGATGTCTGAAGAAAGCCTGAAACATTTCTTTCCTGCTTGAGTTTTACATTAGAAGTGTCAGGACCCTCATGTCTTGTCTTCTCTGGTTCTGCCGAAGGGCTCCGTGGAGCACCAGAAAGGTGGACTAGGAGGTTTCTCAGCCCTTAACTCAAGGGATGAGGGCATTTAATCTTTAACAAAAAGTGTTTTTCTCTTCAGTGTGTGCAATGCATTTGAGTCAAATAGATGTTAACAATAAAAAGAGTTTCAAGAAGTTTGACTAAAAATCACTTCCCTGATTAATTCATCAGGTTTTATTTCTTTGCCATCTCTGGGGCCCAGATCCTTAAAGGTATTTAGGTGCCTAACTCCTATTGAAATAAATGGGAATTAGGTACCCAAATACCTCTGAGATGCAGGCCTGGGGACACAGTTTGGGCTCTAGTTGTCCATAGAGTATACAAGAAAAATAAAAAAGAGGCAAGACCTGAATTCTAATGTAAAAGATAAATGGGGTGGGGATGGGGAACCTCTCCCAAACCTAATGTTTATATCATCAATCAGCAAAGAAGGGCAGGGCCCCAGCTGTGTGGGGGATTCAAGTGACACATGGCCCAAAGTGAGTAAAAGCCAGTGGGGCCTTAGAAGACCAGCCCTAGTTCCTGGATGGCATTTGCAGGTGAGAAGCAAAGTTAAGAGCTCACTGAATTGTTATGTTTGTGTTCCCAGATGCATCACCAGGTCTTTCTATCGGAACGCCGTGGGAGTGCTGCTGGTGTTCGACATGACCAACCGTAAGTCCTTCGAGCACATCATTGAGTGGTACCATGAAGTGGCCAGCATCCAGATTATGGAGAAGGTCATCTTCCTCCTGATTGGCCACAAAAGTGACTTGAAGTCAGACTGCAAAGTCTCCACCGAAGAGGCAGAGGGGCTGGCAGCCTCCCTGGGCATCGGCTTCATTGAAACGTCTGCCAAAAGCAACACCAATGTGGACTTGGCTTTCGAGACCTTGACCAACACCATCTATGAGGCTCTGAAGAACAAGGAGATCGATCTGCAGGAAGGCTGGGATGGGGTGAAGGTGATTCACAAGAGAACATGCAACCCCCAGAAGAAGAGGCGAAAACCGCAAGAAAAATGCCAATGCTAACCCAGAAGTTAGGGACTAGGATCTGGCGTAGGGGATGGAATTGGTGGAGGAGGGACTGGATGAGCCGATTCAGAAATAAATTAGGGATGGGCCTGAGATGCAAAGTTGGAGGTTCAGGGGGAGGGGAGTTCAGTTTGTCTCTAGGGAAAATAAAAACCTCCAGGACTTGCTTTCACCCATTGTAGATGAATTCCATCGGAATAGTAAAAAGTGCACTACTGCCCCCTTTAGGTGGAGAACAGGGAACCCAGGACCAGTGATGCAACACTGATTAGCTGCTAGAGGCTTTCCCTTGGTTCTTAGCAGGGGAAATCCCTTTTAATACACTGCAGCACTGGCTCTAAAACTTTTTAATGTTTTTTTTTAAACTGAATTTTAGGACTAAGAAAATCTTTAGGAATCTAGGAGTGCAGCTATTAAAACATACATGTGCATGCATCAAATACACCGAACAATTGAGCCAGTCAATGGGGCCTTGAGCCTTAGTAGGGTCCCCAGAGTGGTACTGCATTACAAGGGATCAAATCCCCAAATCCCTGCTTTATTGAAGCATCCCAGAGACTTCAGCATTACAAAGAAACCTCCATGGCCTGATTTTGGGTGCCTAAGGACCATGGTGAGTGGAAGAAGTCTCAGGACATGAGGAAGCCGATGAGATGTTTCCAGAGGGTGGAATTCAGTTGCAGTGCTCAGTGCAGAGGGGTGAGATTCACCCCTTTGCAAAGGGCCAGTCTCATGCTTAGGCACCCATTTAATGAATTCATTAACTGTAGAATAAATTGCTCAGTTTCTAGTGTAACCCTATGCTATTTGGTCTAGACTGAGGAGGCCTTAAAAGTACGTTATTAGTATTCCACCAAGATCGGGGCCCCATTCTACCATGTGCTATACCAACATATAGTAAGAGACAGTCCCTGCCCAAAGGGGCTTGCAATTTAAATAGTTAAAGGGGCAAGAGGGGAAACTGAGGCACAGAGCAGGGACGTGACTGGTCCAAGCTCATAGGCAGAGCTGGGAATAGAAACTATGTCTCCTGACTGTCTCACAGCTGTCCTGTCCAGTTGGCCACACACCCTCGGTGATCATGCTCCTATGCTCAGTCTTATGGCTTGACTGCATTTGAAAACTTAAAAACTGTGATGGTAAACTCCCAGGGACAGATTCCCCCCTCCCGTATCCCTCTATGCTGCCATAGATTTCAATGGCATAGCCTGGATCTAAACAAGAGTGACATTACGGTACCATGTTGCATCTAGCTAGAAAAATCCCAGTTCTGTTCCTCCCTAGCCAGGCATACTGCATCTGTCGCAAATCAAGCAGGCATTAAACTTCCTAGCTGAAATCCTGGCCCATGGGAAAACTCCCGCTGACTATGTAGCGCCAGGATTAAACCCCAGTGTATTTACAGGTGTCTATTATTACTGTTTGTGGGTGTGAAGCTGTGCTACATACGGACTAGTGCAACCCTGCTACTCACATGTCTCCAGCGTGTATGGATTCTTCATTACAAATAAATCGTTTCCTTTGTATGATTTGGTGCTTCCGTCAAGATTGGGGGTTAGGAAGGGAGAAAGCTGTGCCAGATTATACAGCATAAGGCCTTCTGCTGATGCTCTGCACTTCTGTGGCTCCATTTTACCGGAGGATCTTAAAACCGTCAACAGTTTTTAACTAATGAGGCCTCACCCCGCTCCTGTGAAGGGTGGAAATATTACGTTCATTTTATACCCACGAAAGCTTATGCCCAAATAAATCTGTTAGGCCTGGTCCACACTAACCCCCCACTTCGAACTAAGATACGCAACTTCAGCTACGTTAATAACGTAGCTGAAGTCAAAGTACCTTAGTTGGAACTTACCGCGGGTCCAGACGCAGCAGGCAGGCTCCCCTGTCGACTCCGCGTACTCCTCTCGCGGAGCAGGAGTACCGGCGTCAACGGCGAGCACTTCTGGGATCGATTTATTGCGTCTAGACAAGACACGATAAATCGATCCCAGAAGATCGATTGCTTACTGCCGGACCCGGAGGTAAGTATAGACGTACCTTTAGTCTTTAAGGTGCCACCAGACTCCTTGTCATTTTATAGATGGGCAAACTGAGGCACAATAGAGTCCAGTGACTTGCTCAGAAGAGTGGCAAAGCCAGGAGTCCTGATGTTTAGGCCACCTTCCCTACTCGCTAGGCTGCACTTTATCCCCCTTAAAATAGTTTTAAACTTTCAGTTTAAATTAACAGTTCTTTCCTGGGATAAAATAATCTAGTGGCTCTCAGCTTTTCTAGATGATTGTACCCCTTTCAGGAGTCTGATTTGTCTGGCGTACCCCCAAGTTTCACCTCACTTGAAAACCACTTGCTTACAAAATCAAACACAAAAAAAGTGTCCCAGCACACTATTACTGAACAATTGCTGACTTTCTCATGTTACCATTATAATTATAAAATAAATCAATTGGAATATAAACATTGTACTTGCATTGCAGTGTACAGTATATAGAGCAGTATAAACAAGTCATTCTATGAAACTTTAGTTTGTACTGACTTCGCTAGGGCTTTTTAATGTAGCCTGTTGTAAAACTAGGCAACTATTTAGAGGAGTTGATGTACCCCTGGAAGAGCTCCGTTTATGCCCAGGGGTCCCTGGTTGAGAACCACCGAGCTACTCGGTCAGCTCTTTTTTCCTACTGTACCTAGTCTAGCTATCACATTTCTTATAAAGCCACCCAGGGCCGGCTCCAGGGTTTTGGCCACCCCAAGCAGCCAAACAAACAAAAAAGCCGCGATCGCGATCTGCAGCGGCAATTCGGCGGGAGGTCCTTTGCTCCGAGCAGGAGTGAGGGACCGTCTGCCGAATTGCCGCCGAACAGCTGGACGTGCCGCCCCTCTCCGAAGTGGCCGCCCCAAGCACCTGCTTGGAAAGCTGGTGCCTGGAGCCGGCCCTGAAGCCACCACTGCAGTATCTGGGCCCATTGGTGTTTCAGTTCTGCAGTAATCACATGATTTTGCGTGGTTAATGTGTCACTGGAGATAGGGAGGTAATTGTGGGGGGACTGTCAGACACTGTTCATTCAGGGGAGTCCTAGGGTCTGGGTTATACAGGTGATCAGACTAGTGTAATAGGGGAGTTTAACCAACAGATCATCTTTGATTCGGTTTGTAGAACATCCTGCTGTTTGGTGGGTTGGCAGCCACAGGAATTGAACCTATGAACGCCGCATCTTAACCCATGAGCTGCTACTGCCGGAGCTAAAAGGCTCTGCTCTGTTAAACTTATAGGAGGGGCATCAACCTGTACATGTGTGGGCCGGACACCACTGGCAGGAGAGGGAATAGCGCCACCACATGGCGTAGGTGTGGGTTACGTCTGCTTGACACCAGTGAGGAGGAGTCTGTCACTGCAGCCTGGACCGATGTTTTCAAATCTTTGGGGTGAACCCGGGCTCAGATTCGACTGAAGCTGGTGCTGATTTTAATTCAAATACAAGTATTATGCAGGCCCAATCAGCCACCCAGGCACCAGGCATGTCTTGCATTAATTCACACCCAGCTGCAAGATCAACACTTGGTCTTTGGCGTCAGAGTGCACAAGGCATGAATGAACGCAACGCAATACGTGCCCTGTCATGTCTTGTTGCTTAAACATTCTCCCAAGGGAAACCAGCAACAGATCTCTGCTTACCCCAGGGGCTCAGCTCATGCCCAGGTTGGCTGCAGCTGGGCGGGGAAGGAACTGCCTTTAAAAGCGAAGTCTATGAAGTGAATGGGAAAGTCTTTTAAATATTCTCTATAATAGCATACTAAATCGTAGTCCATCTCTAGGGCCTTCCAGCCAAAGAGCTCAAACCCTTTACATTTGGACTAAGGGCTTGTCTATAATCTGGAATAAAGTAAGGTGTGGATTTAAAACAGATTAACTATTCCTGATTAATCCTGTGTGTGGACACTCTTATTCTGGAATAAGTGTGTCTACACACAGGGACATGTGTAGGTTTTGGGGGGCCCAGGGCAATATCTGACACGGAGGTCTCCCACCCTTCCCCAGGGGGCCAGGGTGGTGGTGATTAGCCAGCGAATCCGCCCTGCACTCACCCCACAGAGACAGCGCCTGTCCCATGGGGCCAGGCCCAGCTCCCCATTGTGGGTGTTGTGACCTGACACAGGACCACAGCACTGCCCAGGTTTGGCTCAGCCACCACTCCGTCATGAAGGGGGTGGGGGCATGGCTGGGCCAAATTTGAGAGAGTGGTGTAGGACCAGGGGCACAGAGGCACAGCGTTACTCAGCACCCCAGTGGCTGGGCCAAGTCGAAGTGGCACTGACACCCCATTGCACCAGGTCACAATGCTGCCCACTCATACTCCATGGGTTTGGAGGCCCTCTCAGATGGGAGATCTGGGACAAACTGCCCCTTTTGCACCCCTCTCTGGGCAGCCGTGTCCACACATAGCATTAATCAGGAACGGATATGCTGGAATAGCTCCCCAGGACGGTAGACAAGCTCTGAGCCTCCCACAGGTCAGTACTATCATCTGTATTTCACAGGAGGGAAAACCGAGGTGCAGTGACATGCCCAGAGACAGATAGTGGCAGGGCCTGGAGTAGAACCCAAAGTCACCAGACGCCCAGACCTCACTAGTTACAAGGCCCCTACACATAATCTAATCTTCTTAATCTAATCTAATGCCAAGGAGATGCTTCCTCATCACAGTGTTTTGCATCTGTTTTGCTCGTTCCTTTCCTCTGACACACAGGACCCAGTGTTACTGAGCAGAGAGACCGTCCTGACAGCCAAATGTAGGAGCAATACATTCTCTCTGCCGTCCCCTTCTATAAACACCGTGCACTCAGCGGGAGGGGTGGCAGCTGCCTGCCTGGACATGAGCTAGAGCAGCTCTCAGCTGGAACCATCTCGCACTACTTCCAGCAAGTCCCAACCGGCAGTGCCGTGTGAGTTCACACTCCAGCCCACAGACGCTCGGCTCCAGGCTCCTTGCGGCTCACGGGCTGGGATCCTCCGGATGGATTCGCTCTGGCACTACCAGTTCCGCATTATCATGCTGGGGGACTCGACGGTGGGGAAGTCGTCCCTGCTGAAGCGTTACACCGAGGGCGCCTTCCTCGACTCCATCAACCAGACGGTGGGGGTGGATTTCTACGTCCAGTTTGTGGAGCTGGAGCCCGGGCTCCGGATCAAGCTGCAGTTCTGGGACACGGCTGGACAGGAGCGATTCAGGTGGGTT